GTGAAATATGCAATGCCAGAATTTCCACAATTAATCATAGCTGAATTTCTGAATATTTTAACTGCATTGCCAACGTATCTAGAATCGCGGTGACAAGAAATGGTAACATTTTGTGGTAATAAAACCTTCTGGTTACAAAATCTTCGGTAACGTGCAGAATAGACCCGTAAGGCAGATATTGGCGGTATTGCCACAATATTTTCTAAAAAGTTGTGTGAAGTAATCGCTGGACCTATTGCTTCGATTTTTAGCTTCTGCATCCGAAAAGGCAAATTTTTGGATGCTTGGAAAGTATGTTCCATTACTCTGATATTTAAATCAGGGGATAGAAATGATGTTACGAATTATAGGCCAATTGTAAAACAAAGCACAATTGCCAAAAATGTTGATAATATTATCAACACAAAGGTATTCAATCATGTAAATACAGTAATAAATGAGAGCCAACATGGCCCCTTCCCTGGGCGAGCTACATGTACAAATCTGTTATTATTAACAAAGGAAATAGTAAACACTTTTGAAGATAAATCGCAGCTGGATGTTATCTACTCCAAAATCTTCAAAGCATTTGATAAAGTTGATCACTCTATTCTTTTGCATAAATTAAATATGTATGTACGGCATAAGACGTTCTTTACTAAATTTTTTATTCAGTTTTCTTAGAGGTAGGAAGCTGTTTGTGCAGATTGGCTCAACAAAATCTACTTCATTCGTTGAAGCGTGGTCGGGTATTCCTCAGGGTACTCATTGCGGCCCATTGCTGTTCTTAATTTTTATTAATGACTTACCTCGCTATTTACATCGTGCGAAATGTCTTATTTTCGCTGATTCGTTTCAAAGATGGTGTTATTTCAATAATTTAAAATTAAACATAAGCGAATGTTATGCAGTATCTTATACAAAACGAGCCGCCAGTTTGGAGTTTAATTATTCCTAAGTAGTTTAACTATAACCCGTACTACAGAAATAAAAGATCTTGACAGTAAGCTTACCTTTGCCAAGCATGTCGATCTTATAGACTCAAAAGGTTTTGGAATGATTGGATTTATAAAAAAGAACACCGCGTATTTTAAAGATCCTCTAACTCTAAAAATTCTGAGAGATCCTCTGTCTCTAAAAAGTCTGTATACCTTATGGAGTACTGCTCTCTAGTGTGGAATCCTTTTTTCGAAGTCAGTACAAAGAAAGTTGAAAGGAGTACAAAGGGTGTTTACAAAGTTTGCTCTTTCTAAAATGTTCGGGTTTGGAGACTCTCCGTCCTACATAAGTAGACGCAAGCTCCTTAGACTAGAATCGCTGCAAGACAGAATAACATGTGCTTCCCTGCTCCTTGTCTGCAGTGTAAAAAATGGTAGAATTAACTGTGAGAGTATAGTAAACTTTTTAAGGTTCACATCCCTTCAAGTAATTTAAGAAACTAGTGAACCCGCACGGCGTTACAATACCCAAGATAGAATTTCAAAAACCTATAAACTATTCCAAATATTAGTAAAGTATAAGCGATTCGAGTGTCATATTTCTTCTAAATCCGTGCAGCCGATTCGCCTTGTACCGATAACAAGTTTCTAACTTCAAAAAATAAAACCTTATCGCACATCTACAGGGAAAGGTCTTCATTTTTCAGGTTATAAAATTTATTTTCGAGTAAACTTCTACAAAGTTCAATTTGAGTTCGAAGCGAATTTGGTGGCAACCAACTTCAAAATATTTTTAAACTGCTACCTTCTGAGCGCCCTTTCGTTTGGCACCCATATGTTGAAACATTTTCCCATTAATTCCCTTAATTAAAATATAATTTGATTTTTTAAATAGGTGGCAGCCCTTTTAAAGTCAAGTTAAGAAAGTAAGATTTTCAAAACCATTTGCATTGATACCCATTTTGTAATATTTAATTCTTTTTTAGATAATTGGAATATAATTTTTTAAAGGGTGGCAACTTTTGTCAAAAAAGTAAAACCTCATTGCATATCTGCAGTCCAAGCCTTTTAATTTGACACCTTATTTAGGAAAATCGAACGAACGGTGCGGTTATTATGGCATTGCTTATTATATAATTTGAATTCAATTGTTCTAGAGGTGACAGTTCTGTTCGAAAAAATAAAACCAGTTTGCACATCTACAGGCCAATCGCATTAATTTGACACCCCATTTTTGAAAATTGAGCCAACCGTGCAGATCTTTTATGCTGAACAAAAAATGCCTTCGCATATTATATATTTACTAGTGAACCCGCATGGCGTCAAAACGCCAACATTTAATTAAATTTTTTCAACAGGTGAAACCCTATTCAAAAACCTCTAAATATATTCCTAATGATTAATCTA